TCTGTTAAAATCGCTGTCATTATACTTCAATAATTTAAAAATTATTCATAATTGGACCAAATGCGAGTTATATTGTATCGCAAAATATTAATTAAATTATATTTTTTACCATAAAATTTGTTACAAAAAAATTAATAATTAATATTATGAGAAATATGAAAATTTGAAACTATGATAATACATCAATTATTGCATTCTAACTAATTCTCTTTATAAAATTTAATAAAATATTTTGTATTTATATATTAGATTTTATGTTAAATATAATATATTGACAATTGACGTAAATTAAAAATTATCATATTTAAGAAAGTAGTACACTTTGCCTGAAAAATAATGATTTTTTGAGCTTCCAGGAAAAGTATAAATACGATCCACTTGTAATTTGGCAATTCATTAATACAGATATTAAACTTGTTATGTTTCAATTTTTCATGACAAAATTTAATCTCTTGAAGAAATACAGCAATCCGCACGTAAAACGTGCACTAAACATATATGATTCCATATTGTTATTCTAAAACAAAAAATCGAAATAGTTTCATAAATTGAAATGTATATCCTATCATCTGACCGACGATTTTGTTGAAAACAATTATAATATATATTTACAATTTTAATATATATTTACATAACAATTTACATATAACAATTATAATATATATTTACAATTTTTAAAATTAAATAACATTTAGAAAGTGTCAAAAAATTTGTCAAAAATAGAAACAATATGTTTATTTTCGTTAATTTAAAAAAAAATAGAAATAAAGCACGGTCAGTCGATTATATAGGGATTACATTTTAATTCATAAAACTATTTCAATTTTTTATTTCAGAACAATGGTGGAATCATGTACACCTTTTAGCAGTGCATGTTTTACATGCCGTATTTCCTCGAAAGATTATTATTTTTCAATAAAATTTGAAACGTAACAAGTTTAGAATGCTGACGTAACACGAGATTGCTATATGTGTATAACGTACGCTCATTATAGGTCTGTTTTTTTCAGCTAAACAATTTCTTGCACGTTTCTGGTTTTTCTTTTTTTTTTCCACGTTAGAAAGAAAAAGAGAAAAGATCAACGCTGCAAGAAGTTCAGCTGAAAAAACATACTTTATATTTCGGCTTATTCTATCGCATTTGCATCAATAAAGCAACCATGCAAATATGTGTCATGCAAATTGCCACACAATAAATGTAGTATTTGCCATCATATGTGCAACACGTAGCAAAAAATGCAAATATATATCTCTTCAGTTTCTCGCTAATTCACCTGCCTTAATAAAAGGCAGACGCGAGTGGTGTCTATTTATTCAACATTCGGTGAATCATCAGACTACGTATTTCTTATTCTCAATTTTATTTTTCGCAAAGAATATATTTTGCAAATAAGCTCGAGAATCTGTTTTTTCACCTCGTCATCAATGAAGCAGTTGGATATAATCGTACCATTTCTTTTGCTTCTCTATCTCTTCGGTACGACAGCGGCCACGAACAATGATAATAATGTGGTAAGCATACGTTTTCTTACTTTTGAAAGCCACTATATATAATCTTAGAATCTTCGCGATTCTTTTCAATCGTGAAGTGGATTGTATTTATACTTTTCCTGCAATCCAAGCACAAAAAATCTTAATTTTTCAGAAGGGTCAAAATGTACTACTTTGTGTAAATAATGATTAAATAATAAGA